ATGTAATTTGGGTACAGCATCCTCCTTTTGATTGTGCGCATGATCGCAGGTTGTTTTCACGGGCCAGAGTGCTGTAGCGGTGTTTGCTTTTGTTGTAATTTTGCTTTGCACAGAGAATTTACAGTTGGTAGCGACCCAGTATGGATTCCACTTTTAACGTTCATGGACTTGAATAAGAACTTCATGATAGCAAGAATACCAAGACCATTCGAGTTGTCAGTGTAGGACTCCCCTATTAGCGTTTTTGCTAGAATGCTGTTATACGCTGAGCGCAGCTAAGCCAGTCCTTTCGACCCCGGGCTGTGTACCTCCGTTTAGTATCCACCGCCCGTTACATGTATGTGCGCCAGCATTTTGATAATAAATCTAGAAAAGTTCAAGTAATTTGCCATATGCTGATACCGAAGATATGCTGACTGGCCCAGATGCTAAACGCCAACCCAGAAAAGAGATAATTTGCTGGGCCAGCTGAGCAGTGCTTTTTTGATGCATCAGTAACCTGGCAATAGAGCTTCCGACATTGTACAAAGTAATGAGCAAAATAAGAGCATAGCCAGTAAAAATGTGATCCTTGGTGCATGATCCCTGGGCCGATTGTTTTACCACAGTCATCGCCGTCGTCGTTGAGCTGCGTTAGAGCTGTTCCCTCCTGCTTGTTTTTGCTGTGGGCGCCATTTAAATTCACACTGATCTGGTTTGTCTCCGTACAATCTGTCCGGCTTAACCCATCTTTCATCCTTTCTCACGACGAATTGATTTATTAGACACCATTTATGGGCCCCTCATCCTGGGAGGGACGACAAGGAAAGCGGCGTCTGGGGACAGGTAAGCCTATTGATGGAGAAAGTAAGATGAACCATCTGCTTGTTCGGTAGTACTTCCAACTTATTTTTTATAATATTTTTTTTATGTTTGCGACTAACTGTGCCTGGTGTTGAATTCTGATCAATCTTCGAGTGCGCAGCCCAGGATGATGAAAATTATCATATCATTTACTGTCGTTTTGTGTATTTTGAACAAAAATATCAGTTTTTGCAAGGATTATTATTTTTAAAAAAATATATCATTTTATGTTGTTTAAATTTCTGCATGAATAATAGCATATGATTTTACTTTTTTCAGCTGTGATAATATCAACACCTACAGACCGGAAGGGCATGTTGCGCGGCTTTTCAGCGGGAAACCAAAAGGTTTGTCTCTTCAGTTTTACAAATTTCGAAAGGTTTTCGTCAAAATTTATCTCAGATGAGGGTGAGAAAAAGTGCCATAGAATCGAAACTGTCAAGAAAAGGGAAACCCTTGAAAGAGGTAGTTGTCGACATTCTTGCTGACATATAATTGTTGTCGGCACATGCTACCACTTAAGCTATTCCGATTTCGTCTCCTTTTTCATACAGAGTGAGTTGTTGAGGTTTTTCATGAAGAAAATAACATTTTGTGAAGCGTAATATGTTCGTTTGAGGGGTTTTTGAGAGTATCGAAGAAGTAGTGGAAGCAGTGAATTCTGTTACCATTTTGCTCAATTCGGCGCACCATGCATTTTACAGTTCATTTCGGGCAGTGATCAGCGCAGTGGCCGAATTTTCAAGGTTAAAAGCGCAGGTACGACATTGTCTTTTTGAAAATTGCCAACCTTTTTACAATAGTTTCGACATGTTTACAAGCCAGTTTGCAGTATCCCTTATTATGCTCGCAGCAGCGCTTCCAGAATTGGTGCTTTTATGTCCGCTGCTTGGTGCTGTACGGTGAATTAATTCTAGTCTAATTTTATATACGCATGCAGATTACCGGCGCAGTGAAATCTTCTGCATTACTGAATTGGTTGCGTTACATTTGGCGGTTGCTTCTGCGCTACTTCCGGTTCAGAAGAGTACTGCGTGTGAATCAAGAAACTTCAACAGCAGTGCTAGAGGAATTGGGTATGAGCATCTCAGCTTAATCCGCTTTTGCTTATTTTGTTCGCTTAAAAATGGTTTTCTGAAGCACCGTATTTTCAGAACCGTTGACACAGGCACTGCCGCCGCTAGCGCAGACCGAAGCAAATTCATTTCGGCCTTTGTTTTCTTGGGTTTTATGGCTCTCCGTAATAATTGGATCGTATTTCGCACTCCGATTATTAGCACGCGCTGTGGCTCATTTGGAGGAGTGTTTGCGATGGTCAGATGGGGAAGGCGAATACTACGAAGCAGTAGTTAGTACCTTTGAACATTTATTCTAAGATATATCCGTTCCGCTTGTCATTGATTTCGTTTGATCCGGTGTTTTTCAAAACAGTGTTCAAGTTTACAAATTCTGAATGCATATCTGCTTTTCAGGCCGTTCAGGACTATACTGCTGCAGGAGAGGGTAGAATTTCATTCAAACGTAACGAAGTGTTACGCGTTGCACCAAAGCGTTATCAGCCACAGTGCCGTGGTTACCTTCTGGCAAGGCAAGTTATTTGATAAGCAAATAGCTTGAATTGTTTTATAAAAACCTTAAATTTGTTATTTTGTGAGATATTCAGCACATCAATGATTTCCTCTTCTTGTCATAATTGCGCGCCGAAAGTATGAAAGCAGCAGACCTATGCAGTTTTCTGTGATTCGACGTATGAAGTTCTTACGAATTAGAATTTCAGCTCTGCTGATGGTGCAAGAGTGGGATTGGTGCCTATGAAATTAATTAAAATTTTGCGTCGGAATGAAGACCCGAGTTGACGGGAGAAAGTATGTTCGCTGAACTAACTTATGGCAATGAAGAAATGTCAGCTGAAGCGTTCTCCGATTTTCTGAATTTGAGTAGGCTAACAGATTGACTAGGTTTATTGGTGTGATTTTTTTCATAATTTTTCCTGTCAGTTGCGGGCTATGTTTCAGAGCAACGAAAAACATTATGCGCGGTTTATTCGGGCATTACTAGCTCCTTTCAATATATGCAACGATTAAGTCTTCAGTTAAGTCCTGTATTTCAAGTGAAACGCCTTCACAAGCGCTGTATTAGTATTAACAAAGAATTCAGTTTTATTGTAAAAGAAAATTCCGTAACTATTTAGTTGGAAAATTTTCAGTACGACTAAAAGCGGTTAAAGTACTGTAAAAACGCTGCCTGACTGAAAATTGCAAAAAAAAAAAATCATATGTTAAGCAGTGCCATTATTTGGCATGGTGGATTTCATTAGCCAAGTCAGATGTCTAAAAAATTACTGGCTGCACGTTTGAGCTGCAGCTGTAGCCTTTTAGAGAATCTGACTTATTGTCCATTATCAAATTTTCTTCCTCATACTCATTCGATCCAATATTTCTCTGTCTTGCCATGTGTTATGAATTCCTTAAACTGCATACCCATCGTTTATTTTT